CGCTGAGCCTATGGTTCCAACATGAAACTGAAATCAAGCCTGGAAGAAGTCGGCCTTTCAAAGATCATCCGGGGCTTCAGAGGTGCCTCCGACTTGGGATCCTCCAGAAACTGAGTCAGTGGGAGCCAGGCACTTCACACAAAGGCACCCGGGGGCTAGTCCACCATCCTGGGCTCTGCTCAGGCTACTTCCATTTACTGCTTTCCTGCTTGCCGCCCTGGCTTCTTCTCGGGCTGACCGCGGCCTGCTCCTGGTATGCCACCCCGGCCCCGGCCACCAAACACACCTGCAGGGGAGAAAAGAGGTAGCGGCTGAGACACCAGCTTCCCTATGCAGGGGCCACAAATGCCTCCAACAGGCAGAGGATGGGTCTGTGGAAGACCCCAGGCTGTACCCAGATCCCCATGGCCTCATCTGCCCACAGGAGCCCACACCCTCATGACTGCTCAGGGTGCATAACGGGGGTTCCTGGGTGTCCCTCCTGACCTCATTGGGACCCTACCTCGGCCAGCACCACCCATGCCTCGGCCTTTCTGCTGCTTCTGCTGCTGTGGTCCCCCTCGCCCGCGGCCCTTGGCGGCCTCTTCCCGCACCATATCGATGATCTCATCGGGGATGCGTAGGTACTTGATGGTGCTGCCACGGATATAGCACTCGGGCATCCGCCAGAACTTGTCGCCGTCCTGGGGAGGGAGGAAGTGTCACAAACGGGCACATTCCCTTCAGTCCAGCGGTGTGGCCCCCCAGTGTGGACACTCACCCTCGATGTGCAGATCACCTCCCGAAGGTTGATGTTCATCCAGTTGTCACAGCTCACCAGGTGCCCATTGTATGTCTCCCCATTCTTCAGCTCCACCAGCTGTGGGAAACCCTGGTCAGCCCGCCAGTGTAGCCAGGCCCCACCACACTGGGCTTCTCCTCCTGACTACAGCTTTAGGAGCTGCTGTGATGAGCAGGCACAGTGCACAAACAGACAAAACTCTACACTAGCTGGGCATGGTGGCAAACCTGGCATCCCCAACTCTGGAGGCTGAGGCAGGAGGATAGTGAGACAACGGGCAAGCCCAGGCTGCTCATCTACATGAGGAATATTACACAGCCAAGAAAAGTGGACGAACCTCAAGACTGTGTTGAGTGGCAGGCGGACCACACGTTCCTCACTCAGAAACGCCTTCAAGGCACAAAGGCAGGCACAGCGGCCAGGGGCTGAGGGAAATGAGGTCTACTTCTGAGGGTAACAATGTTTTAGGATGGGACAGAGGTTGAGCTCTGGCTGTGTGTAAACAGGGAAGGTGCAGGACTGGCTGGCTCTGGTGGTGCTCACCTTTATTTCCTAACAAAAGAGATAGGGGTCAGCTGGGAGGAACTGGCAGTCTGACACGCGCTGAGCCTACGGCTCCAACATGAAACTCAAACAAGTCAGAGGCAGCAATCCTCTTGCGGTACTGGGTATGGAACCTAGGCCTGGAGCATGCTGGACCACCTCTTGTCCACCCAGTAACACTCCTGCCCCTTCTCAAAAAACCGAGTCTCACAAGCTGCCCATGTTGGCCTTGCGCCCATGACTAAGCTGCTGCTGCAGGCTCCCAGGCAGCCGCGATGACAGCTGAAGTCACTGTGCTGGGGACGGGACCCTGTCAGGTGCTCTCAACCCCAGCTTGAAGTTACTCTTATTTTTTTAAACAGATTTTTTTGGACCTTTTACTCTTATTTGCATGTGCTCAAAGAGTGTGTGTGTGGAGGGCAGAAGCCAAGCTCAGGGGAGCCAGTTCCCTCCCCGTCATCATGTGGGTCCTGGTGAACTCAGGTTGCACACCTGGCAACAAGCACGCGACCCACTGAGACATCTTGGAACTGCAGAGGCCTGGGGTTTGGGTCCAGAGTGGCCATACTCACCATGGGGTGATTCTGTGCTGTCTTCAGCAGCGACAACGGGAGCTGGAAGACAGACAGCAGTGTGAGTCCCTAGTGCAGTGCTGACCATACGGGCAAGGAAACCCCTATTGCATATGACTCTAACTTAGGTCACAGGTGACCTCTCACTGTCTCCTCCTGTAGTTAGTAGTCACTTGGACTTCTCTGGACCATTTTAGTCATTTCTCCACACTACTGCAACCCAGAACCACAGGATGGAATACAGCTCTCCATGTCAAGAGGTAACCTTGTGGTAACCTAGAAAGTTATTTATCTGGTTGGTTTCCGGAGATGGTGTCTTGTTATACAGACTAGGAGGGCTGCACCTTCTGAAGCACAGGGCTGCACAGTCTGGGATTTCTGCTTCCGTGTGCTGGGGATGAGGGCATGGGTTCCGAAGTTCTCTATCAGTGGGGAAGGAGTCCCTGGAAACACAGAGCAGGCCTGTCCCTGTGCTTCTAGGAGGGGCGGCTTGGGGCATCTCCTGGGGCCCAGGTGGCAGGACTGATACAGGACATGGTGACAGAGCAGCTGGTAACACTGCCCTCCAGTCCCACAAACACCAACATAAACCACACTTGTCTCCCCAGTATGGGGGGGGAGGGGCTGAGGCAGCGGGATCAGTAGTCAGCCTGGGCTACATGAGACCTATCTTCAAAACTCCCACAAAAACCCAAACACAAGCCGGACATTGGTGGCACACGCCTTTAACCCCAGCACTGGGGAGGCAGAGGCGAACTCTGTGAGTTCGAGGCCAGCCTGGTCTACAAGAGCTAGGTCCAGGACAGGCTCCAAAGCTACAGAGAAACCCTGTCTCAAAAAACCAAAACCAAAACCAACCAACCAAACAAACAAAAAAAAAACAACAAAAAAACCAAACACAGCCAGGTGTGGGGGCACACATATTTAATGCCAATACTGAGAGGCAGGGGCAGGTGGATCTGTGAATCCCAGGCCAGCCTGGGTTACACAGTGAGGCATCATCTCAAAAAAACAAACAAACAAAAAACAAAGCAAAACAAGGGCCCCAGACTCCTCAGGAGCCACCATGTTCAGTACGGTAACTTCGGGTCACAAGAGGACTGGGGAACTCTGCATCCCATGCCTTGATGGTCAGTGACAAGGGTGTCCAGGCCGATCCGCTAACAAATAAAAAAGCCACAGCACGCAGCCTATGGATAAGTTCCAGGGAGGCAGGGGCACTATCGCCACTCTTGGTACAGTGTGAAGCCAGCATGGGATAAGAGACCCTGTCTCAATAAAGAAACAAACACAACAGTCAAATCCCTGGGTACAAGGGACAGCAGGGGTTCAGCGGACACCCAGGGACTCCTGGAGCTGGGTGCCAGGCAGCCACGATGAGGCTTACCCTACCGCTAAACTTTTGCTGTTCTGCCAGGGCCCCAGCCACTGCCCACAGTGCCCTTCCCCAGACTTGCCTTGCTCAATGCTGCTGAGCATGTCCCCACCTCTGGCCAGGTCCTAATGGCCACCCTGTTTCCACCCGCCACAGCAGAGGCCGCTCTGTAATTACGGAGTGATTAGCGCCAGTCCCCCCAGCTAGACAGGACCTCAGTGTGGGTGTGGGTTCTGCTGTGGCAGAAAGGGGCAGTAAACACTTGCTGAACACAGAGGGGTGCCAGAGGGGGCACCTGGCACAGGTGGGGTAAGTAAAGTGTGCCCTGGGGACAGGATGCCACCCTCAGTCCCAGCCCTGAAAGGCTGGGAGGGCCGCTGGCTTTGGCTGTGCTCTAATTACCTCCACACAGAGAACGTGCTGGAGTCCCAGCACCTCCAGCCAAAGGAGCCAGGTTCAGGGCAGGAGATCCCTTCTCGGCCAGCCTCCAGACTTTGGGGTCCAGTGTGTAGATGAGACGGGTGGAGGCCCAAAGTCAACGGCTCAGCGGGGAAACTCCTGTACCAGACTGACCGACCACAGAGATCTAGAGGAGTGTATGGGGATTACACGGGACAGGTGTCCTGCCCTGGGCAACCCCTCCAGGAAGGTCAGGGTTCAGGGGCTGTGTGGTTCAGGATGCAGCCAGTAGGGAGCGCTTACCCAGCATGCGCCAAGCCCTGGGATCCTGCACCACATAACCTTCCAGCCAGCACTCTGGAGGGAGGGGATCAGGGGTTCAGGGCCAGCCTGAGCTACATGAGAGCCTGTTTTCCCAGCCTGAGACAGGTGTGAAGGTGTACACGTGTCTTCTCCATACTCCAGAGACTGAGGATGGAGAATCATGAGTTTGAGGCTAGCCTGAGGTACATGATATTCAGTTTTAGAAAACTGAAACAAACCGAACACCCTACCATCAAGAGCTGAGGAGACGGATTACGTCCGGCTCAGCATGCGACAAGGAGACCCGCCCTCCTCTTGGCCACCAGGTATCACCCTATGAGTGCCAGGACTGGGGAGGCCTGAGCCTGGCATGCTGACATGTCCTCCTGAGCAGGACATGCCGTGTGTCCCGGGAAGAAACAACACTCTGCTGGGTTTGAAAAAGGCGTGGGTGGCTACGGTCAGACATTAGATAAGCGACAACTCGGCCAAAGAAGCCCACGTGAGCCCTCAGCCCCGCCCGCTAGCCGGAAGTGCAGCATTCCTATCAATGATGGTGGCAGTCCCGGAAGCGGTCATAGTCCCTCTTCCGGCCGCAAAAAAACGTGTCTATCCAGAGATAATTCCCAGTGGCGACGGGCTGGGAGCCTGGCGCGGCACCGGTCGCCGCCGGCCTCGGCTTCTCCCTGTTGCAGCAGCGCGGAGGCCCCGAGCACGCGCCCCCGCCCCGCGGCCCTCACCATCTTCCTGCGGAAACACTTCCTCCGCTGCACAGCCGCTCGCGCTCCCGCCGGCGCCCGCGGAGCGCCACCGGACTGAAAGGGACTGACAGAGCCTCCGGCCAATCAGAAAGGGGCTCAAGGGACACTCCTCCAATTGGCGTGAAGTAGGGCGGTGCCTACGGAGCGCGACGGCCGGGCGTGTCGTAATCACGCTGCGGGATTGAGGGGCGGCCGTAAGTGAGGCGTGGGAGAGACGCAAAAGGCCGAGGCGCGCCTTGCGCCCACTCCAGGGCGATGCTGGGAAATGGCGCCTGCGCAGACGCGCGCTCCTCCGTCCGTCTGGCGCCACCCTGTGGGCGAAGCTGATTGGTGCATGTGCGGCTGGACGGCCGGGAGTCCTGCCTGTCACGGTCCGGCCTCCAGCCAGTCCTCACCGCTCCCTTCACCTCTGCTAAGCCAGACAGAGTCCTTGAACACAGACGGCAGGTCCGGCGCTTCCCCCGCCACAGGAGGGGAAACGGAAATTGCTGGACCTGTTTTTTTTTTTTTGATGGTTAAAAAAAGTCAGTAGACTCTTTATTGCTTCTGGGGTGTTGGGCTCAGGAGCTCTTGGTGGGACGGGTCCGTTTCTTCACCACCACAGGCTTCTGGCTTCGTAGGATGGCACTGGCCCTGCGGATGGCCGCCATGCGCAGATCGGGGCTGTACTTGTTCTTTCGGATCATGTGCCTGATGCTGCTCAGGGTGGCCCGTGCATTCTTGTTGATGGTGGTCCTTACGTAAGAAGTAGCTGGTTTGCGCTGACCGGATCTGCGTTTCATGACCACCACGACCCCTTTGCAGTCGGCCGCGGGCTCCACTCCCACTGTCTTGCGGTGAATCAGCCCGTTGTAGCGGAAGGAATTGCGGGCTTTCAGATTGTTAGGTTCGGTGCTGTACGTCTGCTTATTCCTCTTGATCAGGAAACTGGAGCAGTTCCGAACGACCATCCATTGCAGATGCGCAGACATGGCGGCGCCTCCTCTTCTATGGCGGACGGAGACGGAAAGAGCTGGACTTGTGTTTTGAGACAGGTTCTGTGGCAGCCGATGCTCATCCTGAAGTCACAACAGTGCCGCCTCAGCTTCTTGAGTGCTGGGTGTTTGTAATGAGTGTAGTAAGCGCCCTCTAGACGTGTAAAGATAGCCTAGTGGGATCCCTACTGTGTCCAAGGCTGCACCTGATGACCAGAACCCAGGAACGTCTCTCGTGATGACAACTGGGCCATCCATAAGCGAACCCGAGAGCAATGCTCTGCTCTGCTCTTGAGCGGCAACGCCACCTTGATCTGCTCAGCAGCTAGGGTAGGGTAAAAGGGCCAGCCAAAGCACCTCGGCAGGGAAAGAAATACTTTTGAACCCAGGACCAACGAAACCCACCCTGACCCTGAAACCAGTGCCAAAGAAACACACTTTGGCCAGAGTCGATGAAAGAAATATGCCCTGGCCCTGAAATTATTAGGTTAACAAGGTTAACAAGGGCCAGGGAAAGAAACACACTTTGGCCCTGAAGCCAGAGAGAACTCTGCTCCTCACCAACTAAGCAGAAAACCAACCAATCCCCGAGCAGAGATCTAGCCAAGCTGAGCTCAAGGGACTGAAATCTGACCAATTCTCACCTGGAAAATCTCCCTGAAAAACTCCGCCCCTGAGTAGCCCTATATAAACCCTGTTCCGTGTGCTGCTGCCTTTTTTCCCACCCTGGCAGAGGCAGCCACTCTCCTGGGTTCTTCCCTCCCAATAAACCTCTTGAATGAGGTTTGGGTGAGACCTTCTTTTACAGAAATGGAGGAGAGAAGTAACAACATTTCCAGCAAGCAGAGCAGAGCTGTAACAACTTGGCTGGGCAAACCTTCCCCTAGAAGAGCAGAGTCTTACACTGCGGCACACCACAGCTGTAACAACTGTAACAACTTGGCTGGGGAAGCCTCTCCTGCTGCAGCAGAGCTGTTACCCTGGGGAAACCTTTCCCTAGAGCAGGGCTGTAAGCTGCTATGGTACTGTGACCTGTGACCTGTGCTGGTCCTTGGCTCCTGACTGCTGGAATACTTTTCCATCCGAGCTGTAATGCTTACACTAGGGCATCTCCCCCAGGATCCTGACCTTTGAATCAGACTTCTTTTAGAGACTGGACCTGACCTTCAGCTAAGATACAAGTGAGCAACCTTTTGGAGAGATAGGTTTAGGACCACAGACTGGAAGTTAGAGTGTGGACCTTGTTTGATGACCCTTAGCAATAAATAAATAAATAGTTAGTATATACATATTATATATATGAATCATTTGTTTACTGTGTGTTTTACTCAGGACACTGCTGTAGGCCACCAAGGCAATTCCTTGTTTTTTCTTTTTTTCTTTTGGTTATTTGAGACAGGGTTTCTCTGTGTAGCTCTGGCTGTCTTGGAACTGACTCACAGACATCCTTCTGCCTCTGCCTCTGGAGTGAGGGGACTGAAGACGCATGTCACCACACCCAGCATGCTGCACATCATGTCGTGTTGAGAACTCAGATTCTCAAGCTCTCCAGAAGGCACTTTGCTTACGGAACTATCTCCAAGCCCTTCTTTTATCTTGTTTTGTTTTCTTTGGCTGCTGCAGGTGGAATGGGAGCTGTTGGAAGGCTCTGGTGTAGAACATCAATGCTGATATTCTTCTCCTGTGCGCCGCCTCTGTCCCTTGGCACCACTACCCAGGGCTCTCTGGGTAAAGTGGTCTGCCTGCACCAGGACTGCAGACTGTGTCTCAGCAGGAAGGCTGGGGGTCCTGAGTTCCAGCCCCACACCGCCAAAAAAGAAAAGAAAAGGAGAAAAAAGGAAAGGAAAAGAAAAAATCAGTAAATACTGAGGAGGAGAAGTTGAGCACAGTGGTGTGTGCTGTCACCTCAGCTGAGGAGTAGAGGCAGGAGGTTTGGGAGTTCAAGGCCATCCTTGGCTAAGCGCAATTCAAGAACAGCCTGGTCTCCATGACTGTCTCCAATAAGCAACAGGAAAATGTGGCAGGGACCTCTGTATATATAACAAATAAATAATTCTTTAAAAAAACAAAACAACTATAATCTCTATGTTTCTTTCGTTCTTTCTTTATTTTTTGTGATAGAGTTTCTCTGTGTAGCCCTGACTGTCCTGGAACTCACTCTTGTAGACCAGGTTGGCCTTGAACTCACATAGATCCACCTGCCCCTGCCTCCCAAGTGCTGGGATTAAAAGTGTACACCACCACTGCCCTGCTGCTTTAACTTTTTAAAGCTTTGTTGTGTATTACTATTGTGTGTCTTTATGCACATGTTGGGAGGGTCCACAGGCCATGTGTGGGCTTCAGAGGCCTCTCCTCCATTGCTCTCCCGCTTAGATTTGGAGGGTCTCTAACAGAACCTGAAGCTTGTCTTTCTGGCTCTGCTGCCCAGCCAGTGTGCGCCTGGCATCTGTCTCAGTCTCTGCCTCCCCAGTGCAGACTCACGCATGGCAGAGGCTAGCCCTTACCCCAGTGCTGACTCACGCATGGCAGAGGCTAGCCCTTACCCCAGTGCTGACTCACGCATGGCAGAGGCTAGCCTTTACTCAATGCTGAGTCATGCATGGTGGTATTATGCCCAAATCTGTGAAGTCCTCCAAAAGCCAACAAGGAGACAGAGTCCTGTCTGTAAAAGCAAAGAGCCTTTATTTTATGCAAGTTTGCAAACTCGGTTTCTCCGCATGTCCAATGTATTGGAATAAACGGAGAGCCCGGAGCTCAGTTAGAATTGGGTTTTATAGTAGTAAAGGTGGGGGTGAGGGGTTTCTGAGGTTCAGGACCCCTGATTGGCTGACATTTGTCTAGGGGTGTCCTTGTGAGTGTGTGCTGGCAGGTGGTCCTATCTCCAGTGGTTAGAACATTAGGCATTTCCTTTGGATGGTCTGTTCTTGGGTGGTGCTCAGGTAATCTCAGTTTGTGGACCCTCCTGCAACCAGGTGTTGCTTCAGGATAAACTACTGAGACTCAGGCCTCTATTAAACTTATCGATGGCTGAGTCCTACTCTGACAGGTGATAATGGTTGGAAGTAAAGAACTTCCTTTGGGTGATCTGTTCATATTTAGCTTATCATGGCTGGCTCCTACAGGTGAAGCCTAGCCTTAATCTTAATGCTGAGTCACGTATGGCAGAGGCTAGCCTTTCCATGGGTGCTGGGATTTAAGCTCAAGTCTTTTTGCCTACATAGCACATGCTGTTTCCCCACATGGTCATCTCCCTTGGGCACCCAAACAAGTAGCTGGGCATAGCAGCTCACACCTGTGTGTCTTAGTCACAGCTGTTCTATGCTGTGATAAAACTCCATGACCAAAAAGCAAGCTGGGGAGGAAAGGGTTACTTGGCTCACACTTCCGTACTGTTGCTCATCATTGAAGGAAGCCAGGACAGGAACTCAAGCAGGGCAGGAACCTGGAGGCAGGAGCTGATGCAGAGGTCATGACGGGGGCTGCTTTCTGGCTTGCTCTCATGGTTTGCTCAGAATGCTTTCTTCTTTTTCCTTCTTTTTTATTTTTGTGTTTTGACACAGGGTTTCTCTGTGTAACAGCTCTTGCTGTCCTGGAACTCACTCTTGTAGACCAGGCTGGTCTCAAACTCACAGAGATTTGCCTGCCTTCTGCCTCCGGAGTGCTGGGATTAAAGGTGTGCACTGCCACCACCCAGCTCAGCCTGATTTCTTATAGAACCAGAACCACAAGGCCAGGGTTAACCCCGCCTGGAATGGACTGGGCCCTCCCCATCAATCACTAATTAAGAAAATGCCTTACTAGAGACCAGCCTGGTCTATAGAGCACTTTCAGTACAGCCAGGGTTACACAGAGAAACCCTGGTTCAAAGAAACAAAAAAGATAGGAAGGAAGGAAGGAAGGAAGGAAGGAAGGACGAAAGGGGACAAAAGGAAGGCCTTACATGTAGTCAGATCTTGAGGATGCATTTTCTGAGCTGGGTTCCCTCCTTTCATATAAATCTAGTCTGCGTCAGGCTGGCCTAGCAGCAGCCAGCACCCCAGTCACCCCAACACCCCCGTCACCCCAACACCCCCGTCACCCCAGCACACACGCAGAGGCAGAGGAGCTGCTGTGAGTTTTAGCAAGGCTGGGGCAGGGGCAATGGAGGGGCTACCAGTCAGGCCTGTGGGCTGGTGCAGTAGCAGCATGGCAACGCCAGGGCTCATTGGGGCTTAGTGCATGGATCTGAGCCCTGCTGCAGCGGAGGACGGCAGACAGGCTGGGCAACTCTAGTGGGAAGGCTGCTAGAGGTTTGGCTAAATGGACAAGATGTCCATTAAACCGCTCCCCAATAACCAGCTGATGTCCACACATCGGCGGCCAAGGGCAGCTGTGGGCACACGAGCTTCCTTTGTAGTGGGACTCATGAATGCAGACGTGGGCTGAGAGTGGGTTGTGGAAGGCACAGTGTTTGTGCCCCGACCCCCAGCCCCCCAGACTGTGGAACAACCTGAAAGGTGGTGGGCAGAGAATACCAAAGCCTGAGTGAGTGTGTAGGGCTGTGGGTCCCTGTCCCGGCGTGACATGAGAGGCCCGTCAGCTCCCTGTCAGGGCAGAGGAGGCTTATGAGACCCTGCCCCTCCCTGAGGACTTGTAGGCAGACCAGGGCACTGAGGGGCATTTTCCCCTGTGGCGTAAACTTGGGTATTGTTTCTGCTCCTGGAGACAACACAGTCCACTCAGTGAGTCCCAGGAAAGAAAAAAAAAGGAAGGAGGAAAGGAGGGAGAGAGGGAGGGAGGGAGGGAGAGAGGGAGGGAGGGAGGGAGAGAGGGAGGGAGGGAGGAGGAGAGGTGAAGGGAGAGAGGGAAGGAGGGAAGGAGGGAAGGATAAGGTGGTGTGGGAGGGGTAGAACAAAGGAAAGGGGAAGAGAAGGATACAAGGGACATTGCTCATTTGTCAGAGGTGTGTATACAAGGGTCACCCTTCAGTGAACACATGTTAACAAGGCACCCCTCAA